AATAGTTTTACCTTTGACAGTCTTTGAGATTTAAATGTTAATCGAACAAATGTATAGAAGAACATGCCTAAATCGACACGCCTGGTGATGTTTTCACAGAATTTATGTATCTCATGGGGCCATTTCCGATTGAATTTCAAAGAAACTTAAACGAAAACTAGTTTATTTTTCTTGCATTAACTAGAACTTAGTTACTTAAGATATTTATCTTTTTCTTTCCGTTTTATTACGTCTCTTAGACCACACATACTGAGATCTTTCCAGTATTTTTCCATTATTCAATTTTCCCTTTACTTTTTACGAGATAATTTTTCCACTTTAATGTCAAAGATTTTAGTTGTCGGACTGCCATCGAGATCACGTAATAAATTGTATTATTTCAAGCCACAACAAGACAAGAAAAATACAATTAAAAACAGCTAACTAAACTAAATATATAAACAGATATATTCTACAACTAGAATACAAATTAGCAAAGGAAAATTTAAGACATAACCTTTGAAAAGGAAAACATTTCCCTTTTATATTTCTTTAAAGCCAAGCAACAAAAGATATCAAATCAAAGCTTCATTCGAAATGCCATTCAATGTGAAAGACAACAATTACACAACCAAAACTCCATCACCAAAAACATGGCCATAAAAAGCCCATTTCATCAATGTCAGATACACTGTGTACTTTACCCCCTTTTTCCCCCTTTTGTATTCCAAAACCCAAATCCCCCTCGTGACATGTGTCACGGGTACATGGACATATGGACATCAGCATATGAAACGTTTTCACTGATTTCTTTTGCAGCTGGGAACACGTGCGGCAATTATAAGCGTAAACCAATAATTTCGCTTAATAATACACGAAAACAATACAAAAAAGACAGAAAGACAGGCAGGTTAACATAGTGGTACAATCGCACTTAATTATGGCCATTAAAGTAACTCTTTTAACGCATTTCTTTGTCGACATTTGAAGGTCATTCGATGGCTAACTTGTTCATGACTCTCTCGAGCATTTGCATCGATTAAATTAAATATAGATAAAGGCATAACAACAATAATAAAATATAATGTTTGCCTCGACTACGGCCTCAGTCATGCCAAGTTTATCGAATGGGAATTACAAAAAAAATACAAACAAGTTTTCCACGTTTGTCGGTGGCATTAACAGGGGAAGCGTGAGTTCCGCTTCTAAGTTGGAAAAATTAACGATCCACCCATGCCTTTTTTTTAATTCGTTACGTTTGTCCAATTGAAAAGCGCTATCAAAAAACACCGAAAATAAAAAACTGTTATGGTAAGAACGCCTCCGATAAACACCTTAACAAATAGCCAACGTTATGCTTGAGTTGATTGCATTAAGAACCACGCCTCGGTCAGGCATTGAACCTGATCTTTCCCTTTTTTAAATATTTAAATTCCCAAAAGGTTCTCGTAACTCACTGATAACCCATGAAATGGTCTCCCCATCAAAAATAAATCATCTGCCATCTATAAGGAGAATGCCTTTCACGGGGGGGAGAATATAACTTTAGAAACATCAGGAAGAAAAGAAAACAGGTAGGAATCAAATGTTAGGGAATCAAAAGAATGAATACTCTTTATTCTTTGGCCTGCCATTTCAGGGAATTACAGAATCCGATTCTGAATCCTGTTCTCTAGTTTCAGGTAGTTGTAGTAGGTGTGTCGCCGTCTCTTATTGTTTCTTGCAACCTCATATAAAAAATTTGTTATTTGTTTCCAAAAAAGAGAAAAAAGGTTCAGTACAGTTTTGGGTTGGGTTTTTGGTATGAGTTTCAATCCGTAAGGGTTCCCTCTGAACTTTAATTGCGTGTTCAGGACACAGTCTTGACTCTTTTTCGGTAATTAAATTGATACATATTTCATGGCAAGGGAATGCGGAATTATATGGTCCACGCCTCAGTAAAGAGGAATTTCTCAACAAAAACAAAAATGAAAAGAGGGTAAAAGACCGCGCCCAAAGCATAAACAAAATTCCTTAAGGCTTAGCCTGGCCAAGATCTCATGTGGCAATGACTTTTATTACACATCGATATGGAGGCCAGATTTCGAACTCAATCCCGATCCCGACCACAAACCAGACGACATTTGAGGATCATTGACTCGCTCATGTGTAAATCTAGAGCAAAATCAATATCAATATCAACTTCTATACAGTCTCGATTTTCAGAGAGTTGTGTCTGTAACGGCACCCAAGGTTCTAGAGACCGATAGCAAGAGCATCTCACATTCACTTTAGAAAAAAACAAAACAATATTCAACTTTAAGAAATAAACTTGGAAAATAATGTGTCGTCTTTGCTGAATGCTTTTTTGATGTATGGAACGAGCGAGCTTCTTTCTTATCGAGAGCCACACAGAGATCATTTGTCAAAGTGTCAACTTGCTATTGTTTTTGTTTATTTAGTTATTTTTCGGTGTGGCATCCTCATTTTGCCCTTTTGTTTTTCACTGTCTGCCTCGGAAATCTGAACACTGAAAATTGAGTAATATGCTCGGGATTTTTTGTTGAATTTTTTTTTTTGGTATGCGGGTCTCTCTTGCCGGATTGGAGATTGCTTAGCCAAGATTAGTGCGGGGAGTGAGTGATGCGGCATTTTATAGAATGCAGAGGCATCAGAATAAGAATGATGAGGAGCATCATGATATTGGGGATTGGCTTTTTAGCTGTTGCAGGCAGGCAGGCATTGAAGATTGAAGATTCATTATTTTCTTTGACAAGGCCGGTAGCTCAGGAGGTGGATTAAAGGGGGATTTATGCAGTTAAAAGATCAAGATTGCAGCTGATGGAAAGTCAAGGCTAAACGAATTTTTTCAAAAAAGTTAAAGCAGTCGGCTTTTTAACTTTTATGTTTAGAAATTGTTAGATTTAAGTGGATAGATTTCCAGTAAACAATGTTAGTTTAGGAAAAATTACCTTTTTTTGTTAAAGAAAACTGAAAATGTGATGATTATGAGAAAAGTTCAAAGAGATTAAAAGGTTAAGAGAGCAGGTGGAATATAAATTTATAAGGCAGAGGTTCCCAAAGCTCAGATTTGCGAGTTTCTCCTACTTTATAATATTTCTTACTAACAGAAATATCTTTTCAACATATCAGTTATTAAATATTTATTAAAAAAGGTAAGTTCAGTACAAAACTCAACATCCAAATAATCAAAATCCCTGTAAAACCTTATAAATTCATCATTTAATCTTTCCCTTTCACCTATTATAATAACATTGATAAATATTATATTCATAACTCCATAATTATTCCATATCCATTGTAATTACATCTTTCCTCTATTCTCCCAATCAAAACTTTTAACGTACTCATTTTCTCAATCAATTTTCTTCACTTTAATGACTCACAAATTGAATAAAACAACTCAAAAGAGTGCTCACATAAAAGAAATTGAGCAACGCTCGTTAAATATAATAAAGTTAAACCATTTTTGGGTAACCAAACTCAAATGAATTTTGCGCACTTGACACCTGAAGTGTCGTCACCTGTCGCACGATCCCAGAGACATTTAAAGCCTTCAATTGATTATACAATTTAGCTGGCATTATTTTGTTTTTATTTTCCATATACTAGCATTGACCGCAGTTAAAAAGTTGCAATTTCACACGATCCGACACGAGGCGATGAGTGAGAGAGAGATGGCTTACGCCCACCTGAGCAGACTAATTGCAGGTGGGCCTCCATAAGAAGAAAAGCAAGTTGGCGTTCAGCGAAATTACATTGCGGAGGTGATTTATGCTCTCGAGTGTTGTTTTCGAGACTTTCAAAACTATCAAACGGAGTTTGGTTTATTTTTTCACCTATTATCTCTTTTTTTTTGCAAATCATTTACCAAAATCGAAATTGGGTTAATTGAGCTTGACTTTGAACGGTGTTATAAATATAAATATATATAAAACTTAGTGTGTAGGTAGGCTTACTTTATAGCCAAGGAAATGTTCTCCAGAGAAGAAGCCATAGAAATGCAATTTGTGGTCTTGAATGAGAAAGCCTATGATTTTCAGTTGAACGCTTGAGTAGATTGATGTAAAGATGCTGCTGGAAAAGATGAAGAAATGGCTACAACATGGTAATAAAGATACGCTCAGCTTGGCAACTGGGCAAGTGGATCAATTCTGAGGCGACTCTCGTTCGGATCTTGATTGATGGGGAGTGGCCAAAAATATAAAAAAAGAATAATCTTCCGCTAATCAAAGAACCTGGCCACAAAGATTTTCACTTCATTAAGCTGGCCTTTGTATGAAAGAGAATCTATAGATTCTATCGGTATAAGCCATAGACTTGACCGTTAAATTGTTTTTCTTTCTGTGCATTCTTTTCATTTTCGGCATTTTTTGATTTTTTTTTGTAATTTACTTGATTAAATGCATTGATCATTAAGAGAGACCAAGAGGGAGAGGTAGAGACTAAGAAGACTGGTAGAAAAACTAGTTTACAGAACCCCAAATAACGTCGGGCTTCCTGCCACTAGATTTTACGTTGAAGGTAAGCCACATTTTCTACCCAAAAAGAAAAACAACAATGGACCTGTGAGGAGACACCTGCTGCTGGTCCAAGCCGTTAGCTACTGCCACACAATGGACCCAAGTCGCAGTGGAAGTCCAAGCCAGAGTCGTAGTCCAAGACGAAGTCGAAGTCAAAGACTTTGGTATGCAACCTGGTAGATATGCGCTTTATAATTGCACCGCTGCACCACCAAGTTGACCCACTTCTCTTAACCACACTATATACACTAGATATATATAGTAGAACCCGCAGTTTGCCGGCTACTGTGGGCCCCCCTAAAAAAACATAACTAAAATCCATAAAAGAAAAACTTAAGTAACGTAAATTAGTTTTAAACAAAAGTGGAAACCCGCATGGGACAGCAGGGCGATAATTTATGCAATGGTGACGACAAGTCTTTTGAACTTTTCAAATGCATTTATCGTTGAACCTTTTCTTTGTGTTTTGATAGAATCCCAGCAAGCTTTTCTTCTATATTTTCGGATTTCGAACCTAAAAAAAAAATAATAATAAATTCCAGGTCACCAGAAGAGTTTAGCTTTCAGAGAAAACACCATGGATACATTGCGCCAAAAGGTTTCCGAACTGTTCAATAAACCTACACCAAAAACTGTAGAGGTAAAGAAAACTACACCCAAGCCAAACGACTCGAAAGTAGAAGAAACTCCTTTGGAACCCATTGCCTCGGCAGATTCGCCTGTGCCAGAAATAAAAACAAACAAATTCAAAAGCGAGTTTCAAGACGGAGATTTTAATTACCAACTGGAATTTGTAGACTTTTTAGATCGTCATTCACCCAAAGGTTTATCCAAGAAATTTATGGATATGTTGCCATATCTGGAAATAAGCTTCTTGTCTTGGCCAGCTTATTGGATTTACCGTGGCTTTAATTGGCAGAACAAAAGAAATACGGAAAGGATAAGTGTTTACATTCAAAGGGTGAGATTTTTGAATGATAAATATTTTAAATTATATAATTAATATTCATTATTTGCAGACCTATCAACATGCCAAGTTTATGCAGGTGGCCATTTTGGCCACTGGCGCTTTTGTTGTCAGCATGTCACGTTCTCCCTTTCAAGTACAAAAAATGGAGTATAAAAAAACCAAAGATTCCTCTTAGTTTAAGTAAGCCTTGATTTATATTTCCATCTCCTGGCTAAGTCAACATCTAAATTCCAAATTAAGCCAACATCAAAATTGGAAAAGAATTAGAATAATGGGCATTCAAAGCTTTTTCAGTGATCTCAAGGAAAAGGTTCAGGGGAAATCAAACCAAAGTAAAGGCATACCATTACCTTCGCCAAGAGCTGAAAATCTTGGCGAAGAACTAAGGTTAATGGTCAATTCCCCAAGATTTGAAGCAGCCTATAATACAGCTGCTCCATTTCTATTTGCCAGTTTGGGAGCTTGGCCAGGATATTGGGCCTTTAGAGCAATGGATTATCATGTCCATCGATCTCACATACCATTGGAGATATATATAAGACAGGTAATTACTTATTTTATGATAGAGTTTCATAGATTTATTTATAAATATCACCCTCAGACCTACTACCAAGCCAAGGCTGTGCAACTATTTATTATTATGGCTGGCACTTATACAGTGTTCAAAAACCACAAACTGTTGACTGCACAAAACATTGAGAATTCCCGGGTAAACGGAAATAAAGATATATAGAACGAGTCTACATTATCAACATCAGCCAGCAGCTTCTAAATATGACTTCTTCGATTTCTTGAGGCATAAATTCGACAACTAAAAGATACGTCAAAATAAAAGCGTTGGATGCCTGAAATGAAAACCGAATACAACGAGACTTAAAGATCTTTTTATTCTATATATGTATTAATTAAAGAAAATACATATTTTCTATATCCTTAAATAGTTTTCAATCGCTTTCTGCATCAAAGTCGGTTTCCCAATCCGATGAGGATTTTTTCTGTAACTCTGGAGATTCATCTATTTCCTTTTTTATATTATTTATAACATATGCCAGGATTCTACCATCAATGCCTCTTTGGATAATACTATCGCACATCCTGAGGGCATCACGATCTAAACCAGTTTGCGCCTCTTGAAACATTTCCTCCAAAACAGTTAGAATTTTCGAAATATTACGTTGAGCCATTAGGTTTTTACAGAGTTTATTTTAATACAATGACTCTTGTTGACAGTGTTCTAGATTTGATAAAAAAAACAACAGAAAATCCCTGAAATCCCTGCCTACTAATACCTGATAATGGATTAACCTTAATCTTTTAATCTTGTAGCAGCAGTAAACCCCTATCATCTAACCGTATAACCATTACCGGCTTTAATCTGCCGACACCGTTTCAAGTTCAAAGTTCAGTAATGAGACACCTGATCCAGTGAACCCCTCTCTCTCTCTCTTGGCGTTGCATACACCACGATCCAAGCCAGGTGGAAAGATAAATTAGCCACAAATTAAACAAATTATATACGCTAGAGAGCGGCACGCACACACAACGACTTGAAGAATGAAATCTCAGCTGCTGGCAAACAATTAAAAAACGCTTAAATAAAGAGATCTTTTTTCTCAGTTTCAGTTCAGTTTTGTGTTTGCAAAGAGCAAACACTTAATTATAAGATTATGAGAGGGGTGGGAGAGATCTATTGTATCTTGTAGCTTTGGCGGTTGTCTCACCTGTATGAGATACATTTTGCTGCTTTTCCGTTTTAACCAAAAGGCTAATTATGCATCTGATGTTACGGTTTTGCTCTACTTCGAATACAGTTCACTCTTTTTTATTGATTCTGTTGCAATTGTGTTCAATTTAGAAACCGAAAAAAGGGGGGGAAAAGAACACACTCGCTCTTTCCCTCCACACTCAATGAAAATAAATTGAAAATCGTTTTTCGCTGCGAAAAATGTTTGAACTTCACTTCGATGCGAAGCTATTTCCAGCTTGGTTTCTTTGGGGGGTTTCGTTGAAAATTAAAAATGGGAGTTTATTGGCCGTTGTCTTATTGTACAGTTTTATATAGTCTGGCTATATAAAGGCAATTAGTCAGCAGCACAAAGGGTTTTTCAATAAAGTAACGAAACGTAAAGTGGTGCTTTTAGATATATTTTCTTGTATATATTTCTTTGCGGTAGGTTTTTTATAAGTCCGATCGAAGGGGTTGTTGAGGGTGGCAGCAGTTGTTTCTTTTTCTCTTTATTTTTAACACACTTTGCTATGGCAATAGGGTTTGTGTTTGTAGGAAAATGCCTTCACAAGGTGTTATTCGTTCGCACTATACAAAATCGATCAAACAAATGAATTTTTTCCAAACACAATGTATTGGAACTTGAGCCACAAGTAACAAGTATTTCTAATTATTTCGTTTCGTGGGTTTTTACGCATGCGCAAATCTTGTATTTCTTTTTTTAATTCTGAACTTTATTTACACTTTTATTTACAGTTCGTGAGAGTCTTTCTTTTATTTAGTGCATTTTTTAGTATGGTTATTGGATTAACAAAGAATTTGTTTCGTTTTTATTTTTTATTGTTGTTATATTTCTTTTAACGCGTTTGCTTAACCATCGTGGCTGTGAGTTGAGCGCGAACTGAATTGAAATTCGGTTTGCTTGCGGCCAACAAGCAGCTTGTGGATTGTATCTTACGGATTCCATGCAACCTCATCATCGCGTTTGCTTCAAACATGTTGCATGGAAATATACAATGTTGAACAGGTTCGAACACCCCGGATTCTTTGGGGGCATGCACTTGAAATCGCTTTGACATTTTTTGCGGCTGTCACAACTTCGGAATTTGGATTATTTAGGGGTTGGGGAGAGAGGCACTATATGCCCACGCGGAATTTGGTTAGTTAATTTGTTGATTATCCCAATGGGTTTATGGATGGAAATTGGTCTTAATGAAAGCAAAATGGTCTTAATAGGCGCAAGAATAAAGGATAGTTAAGAGAAGGGTGTAAGTAAATGGGTTTTGCAAGAGGGTTAAATATAGTTTTTAGGGTTGGTAAATGTACTTTATTGGTAAGAGTTTTTTTAGGAATTACATGAAAGTTATTTATAACTGTTTACTGATATCACACGAAACCAAAATAGTTTGTTTGAATCAGAAATCTTGTTGCAAAGTTAGTTATAAATGTTTTTGGTTGGGTTTAAGAAGTTAGCTACATTTTATGTTCCTATTATTAGAAATTGTATATTTTTCTATGTAAGGGTTTGTAGAAAAATGTATTTTGTTGTTTGTTACATTCTATACAACACTAAATATAACGATTTCTGATTGAATAAATTAAAAACCTTGTAAAAAAATGTGAAATTTCCCTCCACATTAATTTTTTTAGAGACAAAGTATTTGTTACATTTTATACAACATTAAATATAACGATTTTCAGTAATAAGATATATTTCTTGGGTAAAACAATAACATATCTGTTCTATCTTTATTTCTTTTAGAGAAAAAGTTAGTTTTTACAATTCTTAAAACATGAAAAATGTAGATTTTTTATTAAAAAAATATTATACCTTTATAAAACATTCGAATTTCTCTTTTAGAATTATTTTTTAAAAGAAAAATCTCTTCTCTTAGTTGTTGGAAATGTAAAAAGAAGTCAAATCAAGGAACTACAGAATTCCCGTATAACAAATGTATCTTAATCCGCAAATCGAAAAATAACTCCCTCTATAGATCCCACTTCACCCGATCTTTACCTAATCCAACCCAAACCTCAAAACTATATATCTCCCCACCACACCCATTCGGCATCGGACTTTGTGGAACGCATTGCAACAGGTTCGCCAGGCATTCAAAATAAAAGCTAAACTAAAAAGTTAAAAGGAGGAAAAAGAGAAAAACAACAAGCCAAGTGAAAAAATAAAACGAGACCATAATAATTAATACCGATCGGCCGAGAGACCCACCGAACGAACCCCCAGCAGCCAAAGTGGAGAGAAGTGCGTAAGTGAAATAAAGAAAAACAGGAAATTGTTTGCAGCAAAACTGTTGCGAAATATTTCATAACCATAGGCAAAGACGACAAAACTGCGGATGGGTTTTTATTTAAAAATTTCACCCAAATACATAAAAATATTGGCTAAAAGAAAATAAGAGGGGCGTGGTTCAGTCCCAATAATCGTGCACCCTTGAAATTAGCTTGTTTTTTTATCTCTCTCGTTCTCTCTTGAAAAATGAAAAGGAAAATGGAAACTTTTGGCTGATTTTACCAATTTCTTGCTGGCATCTTGTGGCACAAATGTGTGGCACCGTGATAAATGCACCAAATAAGCAGCAACAGCAACAAAAATACACAGAAAACTCAAAATAAGAAAAATAAGAAGGTACAAAAAAAACCTGCAATCAAGCAAACGAAAGTGAAACAAAAGCGCCGACGAGCGAAAGAGATAGAGACAGAGATAGAGAGACAGGGAAAGAGACACATTGGAACTTTAAGCGAAAAACTTGCAATTTCCATTTTAAATACGCAACAACTTTCGGCTAGAGGCAGGCCGGGACCAAAACCGAAGCCCCCAAGGAGTCCACCATCTCGCCGGGATCTCCTCCGCCTGCTCCTCCTGCTCCTCCTCTCCGGCAGCTGCTCAAAAAGCTATAAAGGGAGGGGCGGCATGGTGTAGATCTTAGGACCCAGACCCAGAGTTACACAGAGAAAAAATATGAAGTGAAATTTATTATAAAAATGTATTTATGTGAACTGCATAATATTTATTATGTACCCGTATTTTCAGTCAGACGTTTAAATCTTAGAGACGGAGTCATTTCCGACCCTATAAACCATATATATTCTTAATCAGCATCAACAGCCGAATCGATCTAGCCATCTGAGGCAATAAACATTTTTTTTAAATTTTTTTTCAACATTTTTTATCACTAAAATGTAACATTTAAAAATTTGAAAAATTTATAACATTTTAAATATGAAAATATGTGAAATTGAGTATGCAGATTTATTTACCTAATATAAACTAACATAGAACAGGTTTCCGAATTAAAACCAACCCGTTTTTAGATTAGTAATGCGTTTTTAAACTCTGTTTTGTAAAAAATATTATCTTAACAATGTAGATAAATATAACATATTTATTATTTCTGTCAGAAGCTTAAAGCACTGTGAAGGATTAATTTCCGACCCTATGTTTCATATATATTCTTGATCAGCATCAAGAGCCGAGTCGATCTAGCTATTTTTTTGGAGAAAACAAAATTTTGAAATTATTACCAAATTTTACATTGTTAAAATTATAAAAAATTTGGCAATAAAAATTAAAATTTTTTTGATTTCAAACGGAGTATGCAGGTTTATAAACATAAAAAAACTAACATATAACTGCTTTCAAAATTAAAATTAATGCTTTTTTGACTTAGTTATAAGACTTTTAATTATTGATTTCTATTTAAAAATGGCCATGCGTTTTACAAAATTTTACTTTAATAATAACAATTTAATAAACACAACCTGTAAAAAAATATTACTATAAAGAGAATTACATTTTTTAAAACCATTAACCATATAAATTAATGTATTTATCAAGGATCCTATGGAAATATTGTTTCCACGTATCTTCTTATCTTAAAAATCTTAGCTTTATTTTTAAGATTATTTTTATTCCATATGTATAAAAACTTTTAGCTAAGACAGTCGAATTTCTCTCCGTGTACCCATGAATAACAAACGACTTTGACTGGGAGTTAAGCGACTCCTCGGCGAGTTTGTTGTCTGTGGATCGTCTGGCTCTTGATTGGAGCTGCCCTCCAGAAATCGAAGGAGCAGAATGAACAGGAGAAGCTCATGAAGCTCATGGAGTTTAGGGAGCAGAGAGAAGGCAGAGCCTGGGCGGGTTTTGGCGCTCTTTTGTTGGGTATGTCATCAACATAAATTTTGCCTCGCATTCATCATAATTTTCATGCATTTAATTTGTATCATAAATTGTCTGCTTTACTCTAGGAGCCGCCAACGACTGCGACTGCGACTGCGACTGAGATTGGGATGAGTTGCAAAGGGCCCATAAATGCCGACGAGATATGAAATCTTCAATTAGTTCTGGGCGGGATTTGGCAAGCAAAAAGATTGTCAGACCGAAGCTAAACTTGATTTCCAAGTCATGGGAGAGAAGTTCATTGAACGCCTTTCTCAGGACAGTATATTTACTACCACTATTTTTTTTTTTTTTTTTGCCAGCGCAAAAATTTTCACTTTCACTTTAAACTGGGAACAGGCGAGAGTCTGGGTCTGAGGTACTTGGAAATGGGAAATGCAGGTTCAATGGTCACGCACTTGGGGGAAACAGCAGCTTCAGCGGAATACACCAGCTAATTGACATCCCTAGCCGGTGTCTGATTACCCAGCAGATTTGCAAATGAGTCGGGCAAACATCAGTAAAAACAACTCAGAAACAGACAGGCTATAAGGATGCACTTGGAAAAATTATATATACTTATATAGTTTACTTAAAAATAATGATAGTTGAAAAATTACAGCAGATTTTTCTCTGGGTACCTTAGAATATAATAATTTTATTTATAAACCAATGAGTCTTGTCAGGTTAAACTATCTGAAAATAGATCTTTAAGATCTAGGATGTATCTTATAATAATATACATTTAAATTAATCATTTCTGCATCAGAAATGTAAGTGTTCCTTTAGCTCTTGATTATAAAAAAAATATAAAGACTTTAGTAAAGATAGAGCTCTCTCCTATTTTTAAAAATATATAGTTTCCTAGAGTTCTACCTTGTTTAATTCTTCTAATATCCAAAGAATATCCTTTATAAGATACATTTTCTT